GTGTCGTTAGGTTATTATAGACAGTATTTACAGTATATAGTATAATGTGCAGTGTCGTTAAGGATTATTATAGACAGTGAGTACAGTATATGTTATAATGTGCGGTATCGTTGGGATTATATAGACAGTAATTACAGTATATAGTATATAATGTACGGTGTCGTTAAGGACAATATAGTCAGTAGTACAGTATATAGTATAATGTACGGTGTCGTTAAATTATTATAGTCAGTAGTACAGTATATAGTACTAATGTACGGTGTCGTTAGGTTATTATAGACAGTAGTACAGTATATAGTATAATGTACGGTGTCGTTAGGTTATTATAGACAGTAGTACAGTATATAGTATAATGTACGGTATCGTTAGGTTATTATAGACAGTAGTACAGTATATAGTATAATGTACGGTATCGTTAGGTTATTATAGACAGTAGTACAGTATATAGTATAATGTACGGTATCGTTAGGTTATTATAGACAGTAGTACAGTATATAGTATAATGTGCGGTATCGTTAGGTTATTATAGACAGTTGTACAGTATATAGTATAATGTACGGTATCGTTAGGTTATTATAGACATTGATGCAGTATATAGTACCATTCATACGGTATCGTTAGGTTATTATAGACAGTAGTACAGTATATAGTATAATGTACGGTGTCGTTAGGTTATTATAGACAGTAGTACAGTATATAGTATAATGTACGGTATCGTTAGGTTATTATAGACAGTAGTACAGTATATAGTATAATGTACGGTATCGTTAGGTTATTATAGACAGTAGTACAGTATATAGTATAATGTACGGTATCGTTAGGTTATTATAGACAGTAGTACAGTATATAGTATAATGTGCGGTATCGTTAGGTTATTATAGACAGTAGTACAGTATATAGTATAATGTACGGTATCCGTTAGGTTATTATAGACAGTATGGCTGGTATATAGTATAATGTGCGGTATCGTTAGGTTATTATAGACAGTAGTACGGTATATAGTATAATGTGCGAGTATCGTTGAGTTGACCGAATAGTAGTACGGTATATAGTATAATGCGGTATCGTTAGGTTATTATGAATGATTCTTTGTTATATAATTATAATGTACCCGGTATCGTTAGAGTTATTATAGTCAGTAGTACGGTATATGAGTATATTAATGGTATGTTGGGATTATTATAGACAGTTGTACAGTATATAGTAAAATGTACGGTATCGTTAGGTTATTATGAACAGTGGTACGGTATATAGTATAATGTACGGTATCGTTAGGTTATTATAGACAGTAGTACAGTATATAGTATAATGTACGGTATCGTTAGGTTATTATAGACAGTAGTACAGTATATAGTATAATGTACGGTATCGTTAGGTTATTATAGACAGTTGTACAGTATATAGTATAATGTACGGTATCGTTAGGTTATTATAGACAGTAGTACAGTATATAGTATAATGTACGGTATCGTTAGGTTATTATAGACAGTTGTACAGTATATAGTATAATGTACGGTATCGTTAGGTTATTATAGACAATAGTACAGTATATAGAATAATGTACGGTATCGTTGAGTTATTATAGACAGTAGTACGGTATATAATTATAATGTGCAGTATCGTTAGGTTATTATAGTCAGTAGTACAGTATATAGTATAATGTACGGTATCGTTAGGTTATTATAGACAGTAGTACGGTATATATAATGTACGGTATCGTTAGGTTATTATAGACAGTTGTACGGTATATAGTATAATGTACGTATCGTTAGGTTCTTATAGACAGTAGTACAGTATATAGAATAATGTACGGTATCGTTAGGTTATTATGAACTGTTGGTACAGTATATATGACGCAATGTACGGTATCGTTGGAATTATTATAGTCAGTAGTACGGTATATAGTATAATGTACGGTATCGTTAGGTTATTATAGACAGTAGTACGGTATATAGTATAATGTACGGTATCGTTTAGGTTCTTATAGACAGTAGTACAGTATATAGAATAATGTACGGTATCGTTGGGTTCTTATAGTCAGTAGTACGGTATATAGTACAATGTACGGTATCGTTAGGTTATTATGATCAGTAGTACAGTATAGTATAATGTACGGTATCGTTAGGATATATAGACAGTAGTACGGTATATAGAATAATGTACACGGCGGTATCGTTGGAGGTTATTATAGACAGTAGTACAGTATATGGTATAATGTATGCGGTATCGTTAGAGTTCTTATAGACAGTAGTACAGTATATAGAGAATAATGTACGGTATCGTTGAGTTCTTATAGACAGTAGTACAGTATATAGTATAATGTACACGGTATCGTTAGGTTATTATAGACAGTAGTACAGTATATGGTATAATGTACGGTATCGTTAGGTTATTATAGTCCAGTAGTACAGTATATAGTATAATGTACCCCGGTATCGTTAGGTTCTTATAGACAGTGGTACAGTATATGAATAATGTACGGTATCGTTAGGTTATTATAGACAGTAGTACAGTATAGTATAATGTACGCAGTATCGTTGAGTTATTATAGTCAGTAGTACGGTATATAGTATAATGTACGGTATCGTTGGATTATTATAGACAGTGGTACGGTATATAGTATAATGTACGGTATCGTTAGGTTATTATAGACAGTAGTACAGTATATAGAATAATGTACAGTATCGTTAGGTTAATATAGACAGTAGTACAGTATATAATTATAATGTACGGTATCGTTGAGTTATTATAGTCAGTAGTACGGTATATGAGTATAATGTACGGTATCGTTAGAGTTTATTATAGACAGTAGTGCAGTATATAGTATAATGTACGGTATCGTTAGATTCTTATAGACAGTAGTACAGTATATATAGAATAATGTACGGTATCGTTAGGTTATAGACAGTAGTACAGTATATAATTATAATGTGCGGTATCGTTAGGTTCTTAGACAGTAATTGCAGTATATAGAGAATAATGTAGGGTATCAGTTAGGTTATTATAGACAGTAGTACGGTATATAGGTATAATGTACGGTATCGTTAGGTTATAGTCAGTAATTTGGTATATAATTATAATGTACGGTATCGTTAGGTTATTATAGTCAGTAGTACAGTATATAGTATAATGTACGGTATCGTTAGGTTATTATAGAGAGTAGTACAGTATATAATTATAATGTACGGTATCGTTAGGTTATTATAGACAGTAGTACAGTATATAGTATAATGTACTGCGGTATCGTTAGGTTATTATGAAAGTGAGTACAGTATATAGTATAATGTACGGTATCGTTAGGTTATTATAGTATCAGTAGTACAGTATTGTATATATGTCAGATATGGACAAGTAAACCAAACTAATTATTCACTTTACATACTAACAACACATTACTGTACTTTAATAATTTCACTAATTTAGATACTCAAAATAAACTAATTTATACCACAGCAGGACTACAGTTAACAGCATCTTATGTATGTGTACATTACTAATTATCGCTCACAATTGTTATTACTGGTCATTAATTTAATTACTGGAAAAGTTAAGAGTTGAAAATGAATTTCATGAAAATATGCATTTATGAATGCATGACATTTTGACGCTCGTATGTCAAAAATTGTTGATTATTACAGCGAGTTTTAAATCACTGATTTACTTTTTAAATGTGACAACACTGTATATAACCTTAACTCAACCTACTACCCATTATAACCGAACCTCACAGTAGCCTAATCGACCCTCAACCTCCTTAACATAACCAACCAAACTAACCTTATATTACCCGCCATAACCCAACCTCACAACCTCAGCCTAACGTGACCCTGAACCTCCTTTAACATAACTTAACCAAACTTAACCTTAATACCCGCCATAACCTAACCTCACAGCCTAGCCTAACGACCCTCAACCTCCTTCATAACAACCCAAACTTAACCTTATATACCCCATAACCCAACCTCACAGCCTTCAGCCTACGTGACCCTCAACCCCTTAACATAACTTAACCAACCTTATATTACCCCCATAACCTAACCTCACAGCCCAGCCTACGTGACCCTCAACCTCCTTAACATAACTTAACCAAACTTAACCTTATATTACCCATTACAACCTAACCTCACAGCCTAGCCTAACGTGACCCTCAACCTCCTTTAACATACCAACCAAACTTAACCTTATATTACCCGCCATAACCTAACCTCACAGCCTAGCCTAACGTGACCCTCAACCCCTAACATAACCAAACCAAACTTAACCTTATATTACCCGCCATAACCTAACCTCACAGCCCAGCCTAACGTGACCCTCAACCTCCTTAACATAACTTAACCAAACTTAACCTTATATTACCCGCCATAACCTAACCTCACAGCCTAGCCTAACGTGACCCTCAACCCTTAACATAACTTAACCAAACTTAAACTTATATTACCCGCCATAACCTAACCTCACAGCCTAGCCTCAACGACCCTCAACCTCCTTAACACACCATAACCCAATCCAACCTTACACAGTCCTCAATACTAAACACCTGAGCTGTCGTGTACGCATCCAGGTAACTGAGACCCGGAGACACAGGACCCGGAGTAAAGACCCGGTGATACAAGACCGGTGATACAAGACCCGGTGATAAACACCCGGTGATACAAGACCGGTGATACAAGACCCGGTGATACAAGACCCGGTGATACAAGACCCGAGATAAGACCGGTGATACAAGACCCGGTGATAAGACCCGGTGATACAAGACCGGTGATACAAGACCCGGTGATACAAGACCCGAGAATACAAGACCCGGAGATACAAGACCCGGAGATACAGGACCCGGTGACAGACCCGGTGATACAAGACCCGGTGATACAAGACCCGGAGATACAAGACCCGGTGATACAAGACCGGTGATACAAGACCCGGTGATACAAGACCCGGTGATACAAGACCCGGTGATACAAGACCGTGATACAAGACCCGGTGATACAAGACCCGAGATACAGGACCGGAGATACAAGACCCGGAGATACAAGACCCGGAGATACAAGACCCGGTGATACAAGACCCAGATACAAGACCCGGTGATACAAGACCCGGAGATACAGGACCCGGAGATACAAGACCCGGAGATACAAGACCCGGAGATACAGGATCCGAGATACAGGACCCGGAGATACAAGACCCGGAGATACAAGACCCGGTGATACAAAGATCCGGTGATACAAGACCCGAGATACAAGACCCGGTGATACAAGACCGGTGATACAAGACCTGGTGATACAAGACCCGAGATACAAGACCCGGAGACAAGACCGGAGATACAAGACCCGGAGATAGGACCGGTGATACCAGGTGATACAAGACCCGAGATACAAGACCCGGTGATACAAGACCGTGATATACAACCGGAGATACAGGACCCGGAGATACAAGACCCGGAGACACAAGACCCGGAGATACAAGACCCGGTGATACAAGACCCGGTGATAAGACTGGAGACACAAGGACCGGAGATACAGGACCCGGAGATACAAGACCGGAGATACAAGACCGGAGATAAGACCCAGGATACAAGACCCGTGATACAAGACCCGAGATACAAGACCCGAGATACAAGACCGAGATAGGACCCGGAGATACAGGACCCGGAGATAAGGACCGGAGATACAAGACCCGTGATACAAGACCCGGTGATACAAGACCGGAGATACAAGACCCGGTGATACAAGACCCGGTGATACAAGACCCGGTGATACAAGACCCGGAGATACAAGACCGGAGATACAAGACCCGGTGATACAAGACCAGGAAAAGACCCGGTACAAAGACCCGGAGCAACCGACAAGACCCGGAGATACAAGACCGGAGATACAAGACCCGGAGATAAGACCCGGTGATACAAGACCCGGTGATAGAAGACCCGAGATACAAGAACCGGAGATACAGGACCCGGAGATACAAGACCCGAGATACAAGACCGGTGATACAAGACCAGGATACAAGACCGGAGATACAAGACCCGGTGATACAAGACCCGGTGATACAAGACCCGGTGATACAAGACCGGTGATACAAGACCCGGTGATAAGACCCGGTGATACAAGACCCGGTGATACAAGACCTGGTGATAAGACCCGGTGATACAAGACCCGGTGATACAAGACCCGGTGATACAAGACCCGAGACAGGACCCGGAGATACAAGACCTGGAGATACAAGACCGGAGATACAAGACCCGGTGATATGAAGACCCGTGATACAAGACCAGATACAAGACCCGGAGATACAAGACCCGGAGACACAAGACCCGAGACACAGGACCCGGAGATACAAGACCTGGAGACACAAGACCCGGAGACACAAGACCCGAGACACAAGACCGGAGATACAAGACCGGAGACACAAGACCCGGAGATACAAGACCCGGAGATAAGACCAGAGACACAAGACCCGAAGATACAAGACCCGGAGATACAAGACCCGAGATACAAGACCGGAGATACAAGACCCGGAGACACAAGACCTGGAGACAAGACCGGAGATACAAGACCCGGAGACACAGGACCCGAGACACAGGACCTGAGACACAAGACCCGGAGACACAAGACCCGAGATACAAGACCGGAGACACAAGACCGGAGAGACAAGACCCGGAGATACAAGACCCGAGATACAAGACCCGGAGATACAAGACCGGAGACACAAGACCCGGAGACACAGGACCCGAGATACAAGACCGGAGACACAAGACCCGAGATACAAGACCCGGAGACACAAGACCCGGAGACACAAGACCCGGAGATACAAGACCTGAGAGACACAAGACCCGGAGACACAAGACCTGAGACACAAGACCCGAGGAACAAGACCGGAGATACAAGACCCGAGATACAAGACCTGGAGATAAGGACCTGAGACAAGACCGACACAAGACCAGACAAGACCCGGAGACAAGACCCGAGATACAAGACCGAGACACAAGACCTGGTGACATAGGACCCGGAGACACAGGACCCGAGATACAAGACCCGAGACACAAGACCCGGAGATACAAGACCGGAGACACAAGACCCGGAGACACAAGACCCGGAGAGACAGACCCGGAGATAAGACCTGGAGATACAAGACCGGAGACACAGACCCGGGACACAGGACCGAGATAAAGACCCGAGACACAAGACCCGGAATACGACCCGGAGACACAAGACCCGGAGACACAAGACCCGGAGACACAAGACCCGGAGATACAAGACCCGGAGACAGACCCGAGATACAAGACCGAGGATACAAGACCCGGAGATACAAGACCTGAGACACAAGACCCGGAGATACAAGACCAAGATACAAGACCGGAGATACAATCCCCGGAGACACAGGACCCGAGGATACAAGACCCGAGACACAAGACCCGGAGATACAAGACCCGGAGACACAGGACCTGAGACACAAGACCCGGAGACAGACCGGGAGACAGGACCTGAGATACAAGACCGAGATACAAGACCTGAGACACAAGACCTGAGACACAAGACCCGGAGATACAAGACCTGGAGATACAAGACCTGGAGATACAAGACCCGGAGATACAAGACCCGAGATAAGACCCGGAGATAAGACCCGGAGACACAGGACCCGGAGACACAGGACCCGAGATACAAGAACCGGAGACACAAGACCCGGAGATACAAGACCCGAGGACACAAGACCCGGAGACACAAGACCTGGAGACACAAGACCCGGAGACACAAGACCGGAGATACAAGACCGGAGACACAAGACCCGGAGATACAAGACCTGGAGAGACAAAGACCAGATACAAGACCTGGAGACACACCCGGAGATACAAGACCTGAGATACAAGACCTGAGATACAAGACCCGGAGACACAGGACCCGGAGATACAAGACCAGACACAAGACCCGAGATACAAGACCGGAGATACAAGACCCGGAGACATACAAGACCTGGAGACACAGGACCCGAGACACAGACCGAGACAAGACCGAGACAGACCGGAGAAACAACAAGACCGGAACAAGACCGAGATACAGACCTGGAGACACAAGACCTGAGACAAGACCCGGAGACAAGACCCGGAGATACAAGACCGGAGATACAAGACCCGGAGACACAAGACCGGAGATACAAGACCCGGAGATACAAGACCGGAGATACAAGACCCGGAGATACAGACCCGGAGACACAGGACCCGGAGACACACAGACCGGAGACAAGAACCTGGAGACAAGACCCGAGATACAAGACCTGGAGATACAAGACCCGGAGATACAAGACCTGGAGACACAGGACCCGAGACAGGACCCGGAGACACACAACCGAGACACAAGACCCTGAGATACAAGACCCGGAGCAAAGACCCGGAGACAAGACCTGAGACAGCAAGACCTGGAGACACAATACCGGAGACACAGGACCCGGAGACAAGACACCCGGAGACACAAGACCTGAGACACAAGACCTGGAGATACAAGACCTGGAGACACAAGACCGGAGATACACAGGACCTGGAGACACAGAACCTGAGACACAGGACCTGGAGTACAAGACCGGAGACAGGACACCGGAGACACAAGACCTGGAGACACAAGACCGAGATACAGGACCGGGACACAGACCTGGAGACACAAGACCGGAGATACAACTGGAGACAAGACCTGGAGACAAGGACCGGAGACACAAGACCTGAGCACAAGACCCGGAGACACAAGACCCGGAGACACAGACCGGCAGACACAAGACCCGGAGATACAAGACCCGGAAGGGACCCGGAGAGACACAAGACCGGAGACACAAGACCTGGAGAAGGACCGAGACACAGGACCTGGACAAGACCCGGAGACACAAGACCCGAGACACAAGACTTGAGATACAAACCTGGAGACAGGACCTGGAGACAAGACCCGGAGATACAAGACCTGGAGATACAAGGAAGACCTGAGACACAAGCCCGAGACACAAGACCAGAGACAAGACCCGAGATACAGGACCGAGACACAAGACCCGAGACACAAGACCGAGATACAAGACCTGGAGACACAAGACCGGAGACACAGGACCGGAGACACAGGACCCGGAGACACAAGCACCTGAGACACAAGACACCTGAGACACAGGACCTGGAGACACAGACCTGGAGACACAAGACCCGGAGACACAGACCCGGGATACAAGCACTGGGAGACACAAGACCCGGAGACACAGACCTGAGCAAGACACCGGAGATACAAGACCTGAGACAGGACCTGACACAAGACCTGAGACAAGGACCCGAGACACAAGACCCCGGAGATACAAGACCTGGAGATACAGACCCGAGAGACACACTGGAGATACAGGGAACCTGAGATACACCGGAGATGATACACCGGAGACACAAGACTTAGACACAAGACCTGGAGATACAACACCCGGAGACACAAGACCTAAGACACAGACCGGAGACACAAGACAACCACCTGAGACAAGACCCGACAGCGGAGAAGGAGAGACATACACCCGGAGATACAAACCTGAGATACAGACCTGGAGACACAAGACCTGGAGACACAGGACCAGAGATACACCGAGACAAAGACCCGGAGATACAAGACCGGAGACACAAGACCTGAGACACAGGACACCTGAGACAAGACCCGGAGACACAAGACCGAGACACCTGGAACCAAGAGAGAACAAGCACGAGATGGAGACCTGGAGGACACAGGACCGAGACACAGGACCGGAGACACAGACCCGGAGATACAAGACCCGGAGACAAGACCAGAGACACAAGACCCGGAGACACAGGACCCGAGACACAGACCGGAGACACAGGACCCGAAGACACAAGACCCGGAGATACAAGACCGGAGATACAAGACCCGGAGACACAAGACCGGAGACACAAGACCCGGAGACACAGGACCCGGAGATACAGGACCGGAGACACAAGACCCGGAGACACAGGACCGAGACACAGGACCGGAGATACAAGACCGGAGACACAGGACCCGGAGACACAGGACCGGAGACACAGGACCGGAGACATAAGACCAGACACAAGACCCGGAGACACAGGACCGGGACACAAGACCGAAGACACAAGACCAAGACACAAGACCGGAGACACAAGACCCGGAGACACAGGACCGGAGATACAGGACCCGGAGACACAGGACCCGGAGACACAAGACCCGGAGACACAGGACCTGGAGACACAGGACCCGGAGACACAGGACCCGGAGACACAAGACCGGAGACACAAGACCCGGAGACACAGGACCCGGAGACACAAGACCGAAGACACAAGACCGGGACATGGGACCCGGAGACACAAGACCGGAGACACAAGACCGGAGACACAGGACCTGGAGACACAGGACCCGGGACACAAGACCAGGAGACCAAGGGCCAGGGACACAAGACCCGGAGACACAAGACCCGAAGACACAAGACCCGGAGAACAAGACCCAGAGACACAAGACCCGGAGACACAAGACCCGGAGACACAAGACCAGAACACAGGACCCGGAGACACAAGACCTGAGACACAGGACCCGGACACAGAACCGGAGACACAAGACCCGGAGACACAGGACCCGGAGATACAAGACTGGAGATACAAGACCCGGAGATACAAGACCCGGAGACACAGGACCCGGAGACACAGGACCCGGAGACACAAGACCGGAGACACAAGACCCGGAGACACAGGACCCGGAGATACAAGACCCGGATACAAGACCCGGAGATACAGACCAGACACAAGACCCGGAGACACAAGACCAGAGACACAAGACCCGGAGACACAAGACCGGAACACAAGACCCAGAGACACAAGACCCGGAGACACAAGACCGGAGATACAAGACCGAGACACAAGACCCGGAGACACAAGACCAGAGACACAAGACCCAGAGACACAAGACCCGGAGATACAAGACCCAGAGACCAAGACCCGGAGACACAAGACCCGGAATACAAGACCGGAGACACAAGACCGGAGACACAAGACCCAGAGACACAAGACCCGGAGATACAAGACCGGAACCAAGACTGAGACTGTAAGACCCGTAACTTTATACTGAGAGAGAAGGAAGGAAGAAAACATAACGAGATAAACTCGCCGCACACTATCGGACTTGAAGCATCACCATGAATACCAATGGTCCCGACGCAGCTTCTAGCTTACAATTCTCACAACTGGACATGAAATCGTACATTTAGTCATTTTTGGTCGTACGATAAATGGAAAAAAAAGCAGGGTAGACAGCTGTGAACGTGATGGTAAGAAGGTTTCATAACCACGATTTCAGGACCGTAATTCACTGGGCTTGAATGTATTTGTGGTGTTGATTTAACTAGGCTGCGGATAACCTAAATCATTCAGCTTGGTTACAGAATAAATATATCAAGTAAAGATTTTGTTTCCTATGACGCGTAGTGTAATCGTGAGTCTGCGCCATCTTGAATTTGAAGGTTGGGGTGGTGGTAGTGGGGGGTGGGGGTGTTCACATAGTAAGGTCTCTAGAACACATTCACTGGGTCAATGTTTAAACTCGAGAATCATAATTAACCAAGAATACTGCCAATACCTGTATACTAAGGAAACGATGTTGTTGTTACTGCGCTTAAAACTAGTTCCTTTTAACAGAATACAGTATTCTAGTTTGAAACAGACCTGTGTACTCATCAATAATTAAACTCAAGAGATATATCAAGCAGGTTATGGTAACATGATGGCGTATGAAGTGCAAGCAGTAACAGTCTAATTGATCATCACCCGGAAGAATCTGCGTAGGTCGAGGCAAAAGCTCTTAATACGTACTGTACATTAGGCTTTCTGTTCTCCTAAATCAATTTCCCATATTATATTACTTTTCATTTTTAAACAAATCGGCAACGTTTAACCTAAAAAAGAGTCTCATTATATGTATCCATTAATATAATACTACAACAAAGCTATTATGGTATATTATTAGTAGTAGTATAATACCCCTGCATTATGGCGGGATAAACATTGAAGGGCATAAAAATATGATCATAATATAGTCCTATACTACAAAAAATAGGCTATACGTTAATCAACAGTGTTTAACCACAACAATCACACACACACACACACACACACATATATATATATATATATATATATATATATATATATATATATATATATATATATATATATATATATATATATATATAAGCAAATCACTGGGTGCAGTGATCTAGGTATATGCTGATAAACCACAAGTCTGTACTCATCCCTGAAGATGAATTACACGAAAGCGCTTGGGAACTTCGTGTTTCTTCTTTCCTTGGTTATCAGCATATATATATATATATATATATATATATATATATATATATATATATATATATATATATATATTGATAAAATCACACGAGAAGAAAAATGAGCACCTTACTTTGCTTTATTCAAGACATCTTCAGTTGCCTCTGAAGATGTGAATAAAACAAGCAAATTTCATCAATATTATCATTGTGGATCTACATGATATATATATAAATATATATACAGTATATATATATATACATATATATATATATATATATATATATATATATATATATATATATATATATATATATATATATAACAAAGTAATGTGTGTGTGTCACGAGAATCTCGGAACTACCCATCTGTAGTGATGATGGATGGTGTTATATGTAATGATGATGGATGGTGTTATATGTAGTGATGATGGATGGTGTTATATGTAGTGATGATGGATGGTGTTATATGTAGTGATGATGGATGGTGTTATATGTAGTGATGATGGTGGTGTTATGTAGTGATGATGGATGGTGTTATATGTAATGATGATGGATGGTGTTATATGTAGTGATGATGGATGGTGTTATATGTAGTGATGATGGTGGTGTTATATGTAGTGATGATGGATGGTGTTATATGTAGTGATGATGGATGGTGTTATATCATAGTGATGATAGGTGGTGTTATATGTAGTGATGATGGATGGTGTTATATGTAGTGATGATGGATGGTGTTATATGTAGTGATGATGGGTGGTGTTATATATAGTGATGATGGGTAAGTGTTATAT